CCCCCTGACAAGCCTCAGACCCTGAGCTCTGGCTTCTTGGTGTTTCTAAAAGTGGAGGGGCCTTTGGGGGCCTTAGGGCGCGGGGGCAGTGTGGGCGTGGGGCAGGGCATCCCTGTGGATAGATCCGTTCTGTGGCGGGGGCGCAGGGGCCATGCGAGGGACGGGGTGGTCCAGGTCTGTGAAACGAGCGGAGAGCCAGGCGTGTGTGTGGGCCGCGGACCCCTTGGTGCACGCGTGGCCACCCCGAGTCCCACCGCACGTGCCCTTGGGTCCCTGGCGCTTCATGTGGCTGGCAGCCAGCACCGTGGCCGGCGGTCAGGATACGGGCCCGAGTGTCTCGCCTCGCCTGACCAAGTGCTGACATCACTTCCATCACAGACGGAAAATTCCATTTGGTCAGAGCCCAGATGCTGATCAGACGTTTCCCATGCTCTTTCTGAATGGGGACGCCGGCGGTGGAAGGGACGGGCGGGGCCCCTGTGGGAATGCCAGCCTGGTCTCTGGGAACCTGGCCTCAGGAGACTGGGGCAGAGGTCATGCTGGACGCCTGGCCTGGGGCAGGCGGAAGCAGCCTCTGGTGCTGGGTGCCCTGTGCCTGGTCCTCAGTGCTAGGCTGGGATCTGAGCTTCCGGTGCTGGGTGCCCCAAGCCTGGGTGCCCTCCCGTGTAACCTGGGAGGGTGCTGTCACCTCCCTGCAGGGGCTGTGTGAGGCTGTCCTGCTGCTGGCCCCCTGGGGTTGCCGTTGACGCCTGGCCGTCCTGCCAGGAGAGGAAGCAGCCCCCGCGTCTCGGAGTGGGGGTTCCCCACGTGTCCACGTGCCAAGACTTACTTAGTCCCAAGTGAACTTATTGAGGCCTTTCCAGCCCCACCGCGGGGAGGTGTGGGCAGACGGAGCCAGCACACAGGTGGTAGAAATGGGGTCCTGGGCCTCACAGTTTGGGGGTGGGGCTTCCTGGAGCTGGGCAGACAGAGTGGGGTGGGGGGCGGAACCCTGTGTGCCGGACACTTGGCTCCCGCTGTGAAGCAGGCTGACCGTCCCTGCCTGCCGGAAGGGCCTGAACAAATCTCACACCCTCGGGTACTCCTCCAAGCCCAGGTCAGATTCTAACCCTCAAGGGCCTGGCCCGGGGTGTCTTGGGCACTGGTCCCACCCGCGCCTCGACCCTCAGCGTTGCAGGGTTGGGGTGGGAGTGTCCTCCCCCAGGGCAGTGGTGGGTAGGACCCCCAAGCAGGTGACTGTGCTCGTGTGAGGGGCTTGAACAAATCTCACACCCTCGGGTACCCCTCCAAGCCCAGGTCAGATTCTAACCCTCAAGGGCCTGGCCCGGGGTGTCTTGGGCACTGGTCCCACCCGCGCCTCGACCCTCAGCGTTGCAGGGTTGGGGTGGGAGTGTCCTCCCCCAGGGCAGTGGTGGGTAGGACCCCCAAGCAGGTGACTGTGCTCGTGTGCGAGGCTGTCCCTGGCTGGCCTGCCACCTCTCCCCCTTCCAGGCTCTGGTGAGTGTCTGACGCCCAGGGGCTTGGACCCCTCTCCATCCCACCCACCTGCCCAGAACCACCAGGAGCCTCCAGCCACGGGCCGCTGTCGCCACCACTGCCGGGGAGCTCACAGGGTGACACTGTGTGTGTCAGTGTCTCTGGGTGTGTACGTGTGTGGGAATGCGGTGCAGAGGTGCGTGTGGATGTGCAGACGTGTATGTGGGTAGGGACGTGCACACGCTCACCTCCTCGGAGTCGCCCTGGGCTCCCTCCCCTCCAGCAGCCAGGACACCCGCCTCCTGTCCCCAGCCCACAAGGCTGCGTGGTGGCAGAGCACCCAGGAGCAGCACCCCCTGGGGGCCCTGATTTTTTTCCTGCCGGCTCCCAAGTGCTGTTCTAGCCTTTAAACGTGTCACCTCCTTTAACCCTAAGTGACCGCTCTCGGAGACTGACGTCGCTGTCCCGCTGTCCCGCGTGGGGAAGCTGACGCACAGAGGTCAAGGGCACTGACTTGGTCACATCTAGAACAGGCCGGATAGCGTCTGACCTCAGCACTCTGGCTCCCTGGGAGCTGGGCCGCCCCTCTGGGGTCTGAGTTTTGGGGTGGCCGTGCGCCCCTCTGGGGTCTGAGTTTTGGGGTGGCTGGCTCCCTGGGAGCTGGGCCGCCCCTCTGGGGTCTGAGTTTTGGGGTGGCCGTGCGCAGCCACTGGCGGTCCTCATCCTGCCGGGGTCGAGACCTGGGGCTCCTCCATTCGATCTCGGCTCCTGGGGCCCCGGGCGCCAGCAGGGAGCGCGCGGCAGCACTAGAAACCCAGAGGGGCCCACGCCCGGCCTCGTGGCTGCCGGGGCCCTTCTCCCCGGGACAGCCGGGAAGTGCTGGGAATTGCTCGCCCCCTCTTGCAGGGGAGGAAACGGGGCACAGAGAGCGGCAGGGACGGACCAGAGGCTTCCCGGAGCTGCGTGTGGCCGAGCTGGACCCAGGCCAGCAGCCTCCCACGCCCGGCCGCAGAGCTGCGCGCAGGTTTCTGGTTTTGTGTGTTTTAATTATAAAGGTAGAACGTGTTCGTGGTTTAAGAAAATAGAAAAACCGAGGACAAGAGCCCAGCGTGAAAACGAGCCGCCAACTCAGCTGCGGGGGGAGGTCGGGGCGCCGCCTGCCCGCACGCCCCCGGGGCCGGGCCCGCACAGCCTGGCCCCACGTGCCAGGTCCCGCTGGGCTGGTGATGATGCTCATCTTGCCTCAGTTTTCTCGTCTGGCGAGGGGGCGTGGGGGTCCTGGCACCAGCAAGGCGGTGGTCCGATGGATCCTGAGGACAGTGTGAGCGCGGGTGGCTCACCGCCGGTGCCCCTGAGCCCGGCTGCCTCACCCAGGAGGGCACCCTGGGTTTAAGCAGCAACTTTGAGCCCGCTGGGCTGGGGACATGGGGGTGGGGCCCTGCCTTCCTGGTTGTGCCCCACAGTGAGGGGGCTGGAGGCCTGTTAGGGAGCCAGGGCAGCCAGGCTTCGAAGGAAGCTTCCGGGTCGGTTGGGGTGTGGTCTGACCCAGGGTTGGGGGTGGGGCCTGCAGGTGGCAGTGCTGGGACCTGGTGACTGACTAGGAGCTGGAGGTGGCCTTGGTTATGGGAGTGCAGATGTCCCTTGGAGCCAAGGCCCTGAGGGGCAGTGCTGTGCCCTCCCCTTTGCCTCCGACCTGTGACCACGAGTCTGGCAGGGCCTGCGGCCCCTCTGACCAGTGTCCAGCCTGGGCATGGGAGGGCAGACCCTGAGACACACAGATGGTGCCCTCCCAGGCACTCTAATGCGTACTGACTTCTGGGGTGGAAAAAAAATCCCAAGCCCCTTAAGGGGTGCGCCCCGCCGTGACTGGGTCCGGGCCCTCCAGCAGGCTCTGGACTCCCACGTGGACACGTCCCGCTGCAGCCTGGCCCATCTCCCCATGTGACCGTGGGCAAGCCCCCCCACTGGGCCCTGGAGTCTCCACCGACATGAGTGCCCCAGGACCTGGAGGGAGCCTTGGGCTGACGGGGTGGTGCCAGCCCCACAAGGCCTGTTCCCTCCCCCATCCAGCCGATGGGCAGGGGTGGTCTGGGCCCATCAGGCCCTCCTGCCAATGGGGGGCAGTGGGGGACTGCAGTGGCTTCTCCGAAAGGGTGCCCCAATCCCGTGCCTCCTGGAGGGCACAGAGGCCCAGCCTCCAGACAGCAGCTTGGCCCTAGGGCACCAGTGTGGCTGGAGACCACGGCTGGAGGTGCCTTCCGGGTCGGGTGGAATGGAGGCGAGCCCCAGCTCAAGTGTGGGAGTCGGGGTTGGCTGGGGCCAGTGGACTGAGCAGGCCTTTGAGGCCACCGAGCTCCCAGTGCCATCGTCCCTCTGCTGCCTGGCAACCGTCTCCTGGAAGACAGCTGCTGGGACACGCTATGGTCCCAGTGCCTCTGTGGCTGAGCCTCTTGTCCCGGGGGGCCCTGCAGGGGGTGGGCGGCCTGGGGGTTCCACTCCCAGTGGCTCCCAAGGCCCAGGTCGCAGGGAGGACCACATGCCGAGTGTTCAGATGTGGGGAGGGAGGCGGGGGGTGCCTGCTCCCACAGCTGCAGTGGCACCTGTTGGGTGAGTGTCTCCACGTGTTAGGCCTTCTGTGTGGTGGTACTTACTTGCCCCACCCCACTAGGCACACATGGTCAGGCCCAGCTTGCTGCCCCGTGTCACCCACTGCTCCCACCCCGAAAAGGACAGGCGCCGAGGTCCTCAGAGGGGCTGTGACGCGGGCTGTGGGCCCTCCCTCTGCACCTCTGCAGTCTGCGTGTTTATCCGTGAATGGGGCGAAGCCCTGGGCCGGGCAAACAGGTGTGTGCCTGGGGAGGCAGGGCTGGCATCTCTTCCTAGAGGAAGGTGGGTGCTGTGTGCTTCCCCCCACCCGAGGGCCCGGCCCACAGCTGATCCTGCAGCAGACATCACTGATTCCCATGAGGATCTAGCCTCCGTGACAGGAGGGTGCCCCCCGGGACGTGGCGGGGAGTCCTGGGCCCTTCGGGCTGCTTGAAAAGGCCGTGGGTCCAGGCAGCCTCAGTGCTGGTGGCCAGGATGGGACCTTGATGCAAACAGCCCCTCCCGGGGCCCAGCTGTGTGCCCGGCAGAACTGAGACTGCCCACCTGTTCTGGGGGGGCGGGGGCAGCGTTACCCTCTTCTTACCAGAGAAAACAGACTCAGAGAGATTAAGGACCTTCCTGGGCCAGGCAGCCAGTCTGCAGCAGCGCGGGCCCCGCCCAGGGACCTGCCTCCCCCCGCGGAGCACCTCCTCCCACTGGGTTTGGTCTGCTTAGGGATCCGGATTCACACCTATACTACCTTGGACCTCATGGCCCTGCCCACCTGGCCCCTCTGAGCGGGGCCTGGGTTGAAGACGTGAGTCTGGAATTTCGGGTCCGGGTGACCACAGGCACGTCACACAGGTGTTGGGAGCGAGTGCGTGCGCCCCGGCCCTAGGGGGTCCCCATCTCCAGCGCCCTTTCCCGGCCGCCTGCAGGCGCTGCTGCTGCTGGGGGCCGCCGCGCTGGCCTGCCTCGCGCTGGACCTCCTCTTCCTGCTCTTCTACTCCTTCTGGCTGTGCTGCCGGCGGCGCAAGAGCGAGGAGCACCTGGACGCCGACTGCTGCTGCACCGCCTGGTGCGTCATCATCGCCACTCTGGTCTGCAGGTGAGCGCGCCCTTTCCTGGCCGCCTGCAGGCGCTGCTGCTGCTGGGGGCCGCCGCGCTGGCCTGCCTCGCGCTGGACCTCCTCTTCCTGCTCTTCTACTCCTTCTGGCTGTGCTGCCGGCGGCGCAAGAGCGAGGAGCACCTGGACGCCGACTGCTGCTGCACCGCCTGGTGCGTCATCATCGCCACTCTGGTCTGCAGGTGAGCGTGGGGCGGGGCCGGGGAGAGGGGCGGGGCCTGGCGGGGGCGGGGTGCCGCAGGTCCCCTGCAGAGGCTCCCCGCGGGAGGCGAAGGACCCACCGGCTCACGCGGCCTCGCCCTGTCCCAGCGCCGGCATCGCCGTGGGGTTCTACGGCAACGGGGAGACCAGTGACGGCATCCACCGGGCCACCTACTCGCTCCGCCACGCCAACCGCACTGTGGCTGGGGTCCAGGACCGCGTGAGTGGCCGCCGGGCTGAGGGGGGCTCTCCCTGCTGCCGAACCCTGCGTCTGCACGGGTGCCCGAGCGTGTGGGAGGAGGCCCGGGAGGGGCAGCCGAGGGGTGGGCGTGCGCGAGCTGCCGGTTCCCCGGCTCACCCCACCCCCGCGGCCTGGCGCAGGTGTGGGACACCGCAGCCGCCCTGAACCGCACGGCAGAGCCCAGCCTGCAGAGCCTGGAGCGGCAGCTGGCCGCGCGACCCGAGCCCCTGCGGGCAGTCCAGCGGCTGCAGAGCCTGCTGGACACACTGTTGGGCTATGCAGCTGCCATCCCGTTCTGGAGGAACCCAGCCGTGTCGCTGGAGACGCTGGCGGAGCAGGTCGATCTCTACGACTGGTACAGGTGCGGCCCCGCCCTTTCTCCTGCCGCCCCTGCCCCGCCCCCACCGCCAGCCGCTACCGGCCCTGGGTTAAGTGTTACTCTGAAGGGCCAGCTGGCTGCCGCACCCAGCGCCTGAGGTGTTACGGATTGGCGGGGCCTGGCTTCCAGCAACAGCTGTGGCAGGAGTCCCCCGTGGAGCCGAGGCCAGCCCACACGTCCCAAACGGCCTGCGGATGCCCCCTGGGCCGGGGAGCTGTTGTCCAGTCGAACAGGCCCTAGCTTTAGGTGCCTGGCCTGCCCTAGCACCCCCTCCTTGCCCCCGCCCGCTGTGCCCCCTGTGCCTGGCCCACACGCTGGCTGCCCGCAGGTGGCTGGGCTACTTGGGCCTGCTGCTGCTGGACGTCGCCATCTGCCTGCTGGTGCTGGTTGGCCTCATCCGCAGCTCCAAGGGCATCCTGGTGGGGTGAGTGAGGGCCGCCCCCCTGCAGGGCTCCCTGAGTCAGCTCCCCCACCCTCCTCCATCAGTGGGTCAAGCACAGGGTCTGCCCCGGGGGAAGCCATAGATCCTATGGGGGGGACCCCCGGATGTGCCCTGGGACCTGGCCCTCCCGCGCCCTGGTCAGGGGTTGCTGACGCCCCTTATCCTCCCCAAGGGTCTGCCTGCTGGGAGTCCTGGCCCTTGTCATCAGCTGGGGTGCGCTGGGCTTGGAGCTGGCTGCGTCTGTGGTGAGTGGCAGCAGGGAGGGCGGTCCCCGCCTGCTGTGGCTCGGCATGGGGGAGGCCGTGCAGGAAGGTGCTCTCCTCGCCCCTCCCACCCCACCCCCAGACACCCGGGGCACAGGAGGGCTGCGGACCTGTCCTTGGGCCCCCAGCAAGGCTCATGCTCTTCCTTTTCGAGACAAAAGGCCTTGGCTGGCCAGGCTACCGCTGAGAGCTGAGGGTTCGGGGGGCCCAGCTTGGTCACCCCATCTTCCTTGCCCACACCCACCCCAGGGCTCCAGTGACTTCTGTGTGGATCCCGACACCTATGTGACCAGGATGGTGGACGAGCACTCAGTGCTGAGTGGGGGTGAGTGTGTGGCCGTGTCTGAGCTGGCGCCCCCGCGGCCAGGCTGAGGAGACCCCGCTGAGCAGGCCGAGGGACTTCCCGAGGCGTTGCGTGTCGAGGGGAGGAGTGAGCACCCAGGACTGAGTCGTGGGCAGAGCGGGCGGGTGCTGAGTGACCTTGAAGTGCAGCCCCCCCCTCCCCGGACTGTCCTCCCCGATGGCCCAGGCAAGCCCCGGGGAAGCGTGGGGGCTGGCTTTGAACCTGCTTTATGAGGGAGCCGTTCCAGCTAAGCCTGTGAGTGATGTCCCCCCCAGAAGGGAGGGTCGTCTGTCCCGGTGGGGGAGGGCTGAGCTGGTTCTGCGGGGCCGGCAGGGCTGCCGGAGACAGCCACTGTCCCAGCCTCGGGGCCATCGGCCTGGCCTCTCCAGGCCTTCACTCCTCGGAGCCGCCCCTCATGGGCCGGGCAGAGCGCGTGGGGCCAGCGTGCCAGCCCCATTTACAGGCGGCCAAAGCAAAGCGGGTCCTGTGTTCTGTTTCGACATGAGCCGGACGGGACCCCAGCCCGAGGGCCCGGGTGTGTGTCTGCCCCGCCTCCAGCTCTTATTCCCAGCGCCCTTCCATGCTGGGTCCCAGAGGGTCCCCAAGACGGGAGGCACCTAGGGCTTGCACAGCCATGTCACCATTCAGGGCGGGGCCTGACCTCTCTCCGCAGACATCCTGCAGTACTACCTGGCCTGCTCGCCGCGAGCCTCCAACCCCTTCCAGCAGGTGAGGGCTCGGTGGCTCCTGTCCTGACGCTGCAGGTCCCGGCCCCACATTCCCAATGTCCTGCCTCCTGGGACCCTGCGAGCCCCCAGGGCACAGCTGGGAGGGGGCAGGGAGCTGGGCTAACGCAGTGCTGACATCACTAACTGCCCCTGGGGTTATCACCCTGGTGTCCTTGGTGCAAGCCTTCTGGGTGGCCCTTAATGGCCTCCGAATTCCTGGGCCGCCTTTCACTTCCTGGTTGCCCTTGGGTGGCCCTGCAGGGCAAAGATGTGGGTGGGCAGGGCGGGACGCGGAGGGGCCATGCCTGCTCTGGGGTACGGGGTGCTGTCCCTCCACGTGATTGCATAGCCCTCTGGGGTCCCGAGGACTGCCCGTCTGCTTTAAAGTTGTACTTTCGGGGGTCTGTGTTGTCTGGGTGTGTGGACCCCTGGTGCCCTGCAGGCCCACAGAGCCGTGTCAGGTGCCCCCTCTGGTCCTGGCACAGCCAGCCCACCCCGGGAGCCTCAGTGGCCTCACTGGCTGGATGCCCTGTGTGTGGGCTGGGGCCTCAGGTCTGTGTGCGGTGGGGGAGTGGGGGGCAGGCTGTCCGGCCCTGCTGAAATCGGGGGGCCTTTCTGTGGAGTAGAAGCTGTCGGGGAGCCACAAGGCGCTGGTGGAGATGCAGGACGTTGTGGCCGAGCTTCTGCAGACCGTTCCGCGGGAGTACCCGGCCTCCAAGGTGAGGGGTGAGCTGGGCCCCATGGGAGTGGGCTGCTCTCTTCCTCCCGCCCCTTACATGTCCCCGCATTTCTCCAGGGATTTTGGTAGGTTCCTAAAAATAATCCTGTTCTGTATTTTAAAAGTCATACAAACACTTCCTATTAGAAAAATGGAAAGGGGACGAGACGCAGGAACAAGAGAGAGCAGGATCTGCCTGCTGTGATTCCTGTGTGAGGGGCGCCCCCTGGGGGCATCCTCGGGATTTGAGGAGACTGTGCTTTCCTGCGGCTCGGGGTGGAGCACGTGCTCACATGTGTCTCTGTCACTGCTCTAGACAACACCCCGCCTCCCTAAGGTGCAGGGAGCGCTGCGTGATGGGCTCTCCGAGGCCATGCGCCGCCGGCCCCTTTAATGAATTCTTCTCAAAGTTTACACGTAAAACATCCTTGAAGGTTACTCCCTTTTGCTTCCCGTTTCTGTCACAGTCTGGGCCCCCTCTTGATTTTGTGCAGCTGAGTGGACAGGTAGGTGGTTACCTGGCTCGAGCCGCCATCCCAAAGGACCACACTGGCGGGCAGCTTAGGCGTTTATTTCTCCCAGTCCTGGAGGCTGGACGTCCGAGGTCAGGGTGTGGCCAGGGCTGGCTCCTCCTGAGGCCTGTCCATGGCATGTAGATGGCCCTCTTCTCCACGTCCTCACACGGTCGTCCCTCTGCGTGTGTCTGTGTCCTGGTCTCTGCTGGTGAGACAGCCGTCAGACTGGGTTAGGGCCACCCCCGTGTCATTTTATCTTCAGCGCCTCCTCACGGTCATGTGTGAGGTCCAGGCTCAGGACTGCCACATGCGAACCGGGGGTGGGGACACCGTTCCGTCCACAGCAGTAAGTCGCCTCCCGGAATCCATTTCAGATTGCACAGGATCCTTAGAAAACGGGTCACAAAAGGCAGCGCTGGGTCCAGTGTCTCGTCACTTAAAATGTCATGAGAATTTCTCCTTTAATTATTCCTTAAAATATGATTTTTTAAAAGAATCAGGTCAACGTCAGGACGCACGTAGGTATTTCTTTTTCTCCCATTACAATAAAGGGACCGCATCGTGGTGGCCGCACTGGACAGACGTGGGTGGGTCCCGCTCTCCCCGTCTATCCTCCATTCCTCAGCCGCCCCCCGAGCCCAGGCCACAGACTCTGGGGCCGCCATTTCTAAAGGCCCAGGGTCCTTGCGGGACTGAGAGTGCGGGTTTGAGAGTGGTCTCGATGGCAGGGCACGGGGTGCACGAAGCCTGGGGTGCGCCCCGGGCCCCTGTGGCTAGCTCGGGCTCCCCGTCCTGACCGTGGCGCCGACCTCGCGTGCCTTGTGCCCCCCAGGACCCTCTGCTCCGCGTCCAGGAGGTGCTGAACGGCACGGAGGTCAACCTGCAGCACCTCACCGCCCTGGTGGATTGCCGCAGCCTGCACCTGGTGAGAGCACCTGCTGGACCGGGGCCCCGCAGCTGGGGAGGGCTGCTCAGGACAGGGACTCGTCATTGGGCGGTGGGGACTCAATCCACCCTCGCGTCCAGCTCCCTGGGGGCAGGGCGGGTTCTAGGCTGCTGTGAGCTGGCCAGGGCCCCAGCATCCCGTCCTCACCCTGCCCCCGCTCCCCCTTCTCTCTCCCTCCCGGTCCCTGTGGGCCTGGCCGCCTCCCTCCTCGCCGGCCTCAGGACTACGTGCAGGCCCTGACGGGCTTCTGCTATGACGGCGTCGAGGGCCTCATCTACCTGGCCCTCTTCTCCTTCGTCACGGCCCTCATGTTCAGCTCCATCGTCTGCAGCGTCCCACACACCTGGCAGCAGAAGAGGTGAGGCTCACAGAGGTCCTAGAGCCACAGCTCACAGTATGTCGTAGGGGCCTGCCTCCTGGACAGCCCATGTCCTCGTCCCCAGGGACAGGGGCAAGTGCTTCCTCACGTGTTAGCACTGTCTAGGCCTCTGCAGTGACTGTGAGGCTGTGAGTCTGAGGCGAGCACCCCCATTTGCGGATGGAAAACAGCCCAGAGGCGCTCCCAGCCCAGGCAGGGAGAACCAGGCTCCCCCACCTCAGAGTGCTGCCTCCGCGCCTCGTCCGTCTCGCCACCCCTAGGTGCGGACGTGCAGGGTTGTGGGTGCAGAGACCAGCTAGCTGGCTGTGGGGACAGCTGCAGGGAAGGCCCAGGTAGCATGGCCTCTGTGGCCACTCAGCCGGGTGGTGAGGATGGCAGCTACCTCCCTTGGGGCCATTATGTTCTCATCTTTGAAGGGGGGGATCCTCGCAGCCCCTGCCTCAGTCCCCTCAGTCTTACTGGGTTCCGTGGTGTGTGGCCATGCTAGGCCCTGCCCTCGGCCCCATGGCGCACCTCGCACACTTAACCACCTCCCCTCCCATCTGGGCTCTGGCCGCTGCGTGGAGGCCCAGCTCGAATGGAACATGGCTCAGCTCAGATCTCTTCCCTTTGTCGTTACTTTCCATTGTAATGGAGGTGGCGATGCTGCCACTGGTGGCGGTGGCAGTGGTGGCGGTGGTGACTGTGTTAGTGGTGGTGGTGATGGTGATGGTGATGGTGGTGGCGATGTTGATTGTGTTAGTGATGGTGGTGATTGTATTGGTGGTGATGGTGGCGATGGTGATTGTGTTGATGGCGGCAGTGGGGACAGTGATGGTGGTGGTGACAGTGATGGTGGCGATGGGTGGTGGTGGGTGGTGGCGATGGTGATTGTGTTGGTGGTGGTGACGGTGATGGTGATTGTGTTAGCGGTGTGGTGATGGTGACGGTGATGGTGGTGGTGGTGGGGGCAGTGATGGTGGCAGTGACGGTGGCAGTGACGGTGACGGTGACGGTGGCGGTGGTGGTGCGGGCGGTGGTAATAAAGACGCAGCTGTAGGAGGGTGGCTAAGAGCACCGCCCTGGAGCCACGTGGCCTGGATTCCGATCCTGGCTCTCCCCTTGCTTATCGGGTGACCGTGGAGAAGTCACTTCCGCACTCTGGGCCTCAGCCTCCTCACTGTAAAGGGTCAGTGGCACTCGGCGAACCACTCGGGCTCAGCCCTGGGTTGGGCTGGTAATTGGCTTAGCCGGCCGCTGCCACCGTCTTGCTCATCTCGCTGTGTGGGGCGTGGCGAAGAGACTGCTCGAGGTCACCCGGCTGGTGGTGGGCAGATGGGACGTGTGCCTCAGTCTGGCTGACCTTTGTCCTCAGTAGCAGGCAGCCCAGCGCTGAGCTCTGTGTGGGGCCGGGCAGGGCCGGAGGCCTGGCTCGCGGCTCCCCGCCTCGCCCTGCCCTGCAGCGGCGCGAGCGGGGTGGCGGGTGGACAGCTAGCGGGCACCAGGGCGGGGAGGACGGGACTCAGTCCTCCCCGGATGTGGGCGGGCCCTGTGGGCTCAGGGCACCCGAAGATGCAGGCCGGGGCCTGCGGAGCCAGAAAGGGGGCACCGCCACCTCCAGGCACCCAGCTGTCTGTGCTCCCCAGAGGGGCCCAGCCCCATCCTTTTAACTGGCTCAGCCCGTGTCCCCATACGCAGGCCAAGGCACAAGCCATTGGCACCCATCTCAGACAGGACGAAGCCGGGGTGACTTGCCCACTGTCCCACAGTGGGTCTGTGGCCGAGCCCGCGTCGGAACCAGGTGTGTGTGCACCAGGGCCGCCCCCCTGCAGGCGGCCTGGCATCAGAGCCCGAGCCTGCGCTGCTGTCCCTCCCGCAGAGGCCCCGACGACGACGGGGAGGAGGAGGCCGCCCCCGGGCCGCGGCAGGCGCACGACAGTCTCTACCGTGTGCACATGCCCAGTCTGTACAGCTGCGGGAGCAGCTACGGCAGCGAGACCAGCATCCCAGCCGCGGCTCACACTGTCAGCAACGCCCCGGTCACCGAATACATGTGAGTCACACCGCGGGAGCTGGGGGCAGCCCAACCAGGGGCAGGCAGAGCTGAGTCACGGGGCAGGCAGTGTGGCCGCGGGCCACGTCAGCCAAGCCACAGCGTAGAGTGCAGATCCAGCCCTCGAAGCGAGAAAGGGGTGTTGGGAAAGGGGGAAGAGGAGGGCCAGAGAGAGAGAGAGAGAGAAAGAGAGAGAGAGGAGAAAGGGGGAGGAGGAGGGCCAGAGAGGGAGAGAGAGAGAGAGGCGGGGGCCGCGGCAGAGGCTGGCGGGAAGGAGGTGGGGCCCTCGGCAGAGAGGCAGGGGGCGCGGCAGAGGCTGGCGGGAAGGAGGTGGGGCCCTCAGGCAGTGGGGTCCCATTAGGGCTGGGGGGCTGCCTGGTTTGGGGTGGAGTCAGCCCGCTATTGAGCACCTCCTGCGCCCAGGCCACAGGGAGGCCACTCGGTCAGATGGAGGGTCTGTGTCTGGGAAGTAGGGATGGCCAAGGGCTGGGCCTGGCTGCGTGGCAGGCAAGCAGCCAGGCGAGGGTGGGCTCTGGCTGCGCCCAGGTGGGCGGGCGGGTGGCCATGGGCCCCCTCTGAGCCCTTGGTTACTGCGCCAGGTTCATGGGACGCCCCAGGCCCTTGCTAGCAGGTACATACAGGGCAGTGAGGAATGCACAAAGGGTGTACCCCGCCCTGCCTGCCAGTCAGGATTGGAGTGAGCAGTGTGGGGTGGGCACCAGTCTGCCTGCCCCCAGAACAGGCCCTTTGACCTAGAGCTGGGACCACAGCGGCCAGCAGTCACGGCCCTTCTCTCCTCGTGCCTTAGGAGCCAGAATGCCAATTTCCAGAACCCGCGCTGTGAGAACACCCCGCTCATCGGGCGCGAGTCCCCGCCGCCCTCAGTAAGTCTCTGGGCAGGAGGGAGGCTGGGAGCTCCCAGGCCTGGGTGGGGTCATCGCCCTGCCGCCTGGGCGGTCTGGAGTGGCCCTCAAAGGCAGTGCAGGCCCCGTGGACAGCTGTGAGCCTGCAGTGGGCACCAGGGGCTGTCCCCAGCCGGGACTCTCTGCAGGCATCTGGTCTGAGTGGACAGGGCTCGGCGGGCCCACGAGCTGGCGCTGAGGTGCCCTGGGGCCAGAGCGGGTGGCCAGGGGTCAGCCGCCGGTGGCCAGCTCTGCTCCGAGGGGCCCCACCTTCTTCCCACCCGGTGTGCCTCCCCCTCTTTGCCTTCCCAGGCTCCGCCAGGTTCTGGACCCGGGCCATTCCAGCCTGGCCTGGTGTCTCCTCTGCCCTGGGGTGAAACGTGGATGAGGGACAAGGTGGCTCGATGCTAAGGGGGAGATCACAGAGAGGCAGGGGCCCTGGTGGGCTTCCTGGAGGTGGTGGGCTGCAAAGGACAGGGCGGCTGAAGAGGCTGAAGGCCACCTTGCTTCAGAAATCCCCGCCCACGTGTGTGGTGGCCCGTCGTGCCCTGTAGCACGGAGCTGGGGCTGTGCGGGCTCCCAGGCTGTGTCCTCATGCTCGGCTGCCCTCGTCAGTACCATGACCCACCCCCGTGGCCTTCCCCAGGCCGGGCCTGCTCCCTGGCGTTGAGGCCGCCTCTCTTTCTCTCTCTCCTGCGCCCCTCCCACGCTGGGCCATCCTAGCGGTATCTGGCTGCCCTGGATTCTGGCAGCCACACGGGCTGGCAGTTTAAGCCCATGGACAGTGCCCGAACACGGTGGTGGCTGTGCCCTCAGAGTGACAGGTACTGACCCACCCGGGTCCCCTGCCCTGCACCGCCTGCACCTCCGTGCCTCACACCTTCTGCTCACTGCTGCTCCCTCATCAGGGCTGGCCTTGGGACCATCAGGCATGCCCTGAGGCCATCTTAGACCGGTACCCATGGGGCCAGCTCTGGGTGGGCACAGGCCTGTGGGCTTTGTGGCCTCCAGCCCTCTGGTGCTGGCACTGGACGGTGGCCTTTCTTCTCATCAGGGACAGTGAACCCCTCCCTACTCCTGGCCCAGCTGCAGGTGGCCCCAGCCCCCCTGGTCACCTCTCAGCAAGGAGACTGTTCACCCAGACCCGCGTGCATGCCTGTGCCCAGCACCGGGGCTCAGAGGCGGAATTGGAGTGAGCGGGAGTCCTGGGGTGCAGCAGGCAGGCCCGGCCCTCGAGCACACGCTCATGCAGTGCGCGTGTACGCTGCTCCTCGCTGTCCCCACGTCTGTGCACACCTGCATGGGCTCCCTCAGGGGTCCCGGCTGCAGCCCCCTGGACCCCGGCCCTGCTGCATGTCATGGAATGACGCCCTCGGGTGCCACTGCTCCCACACTGTCTCCTGGCCGCCTGACCAGCACGCATACCTCCTCCTCACCAGGCGTTCTGGGAGGGCTCGCAGAACCAGAGGATAGTGTCCCTTCTGGTCTGGGGACAGAGGGGTGGAGACTTGAATTTCTGGAGCCCCTGGTGGACGGTGGGGTTAGCGTGTGGCTGGCCAGACTTCTCCCCGCTGGTGACGTGTGGCACACACCTCGGTCTCCATTCCCGCCTCTCGGGGTGTGGCCCTTCGCACACTGGCGGTAGCACACATCCACTCCAGGTGTGTCGTGAGCACACACGCATGCCCTGGACGAGGCCCTCGTGCTTTGGGTTGGACAAGGGTGGCTGAGATATACAGGCCGTCCCCTCCTCCAGCCGCCAGTGTGCCCGAGTCTGTGACCCTGAGCACCCCCAAGCGGGCAGCTGCGTCACCTCAGCCTGCGGGGCCTGCTTGGCTTCCGGGGCCCTCCGTTCCCAGGGTGATGGGGCAGAGTGGCCATGGCCCTCCTGTGCCCCATGCCCTGCTGCGGGCTTTCAGCGACCATCTGACTCTCTCTGGAGCCCAGCCTGACCTCGCCTTTGCGTGATACCCTCCTCACGGCCCCTCAGCCAGGGTCCTACAGAGAGAGGAGACAGCTCGTGTGTGGCGGGCCTCCACACTCTGGCTTTGGGGTGGGGAGTGAAGGGACAAGCTCTGCCTGACCTGGCACCAGGTGCCCAAGACAGGGCTGGAGCCCAGTGTGCTCATTTCATCCTGAGCCTGAGGAGCGGGGCTCGGGCCTCTGCTCCGTGGGACCCGCCGAGGCTCAGTCTGGGTACGGGGCCAGCCGGCCCCTCCCGAGCCCCCTGCCCCACGGCCATGAGCCCTGCCACTGCATCCTGTCCTGCCTCCAGAGGTGCTTCTGGCTCACCCCACCGAGGCCCATGCCCGTGCCCTGCTGACCACCCGCCTCCCTGTCTTCTGCAGTACACGTCCAGCATGAGAGCCAAATACCTCGCCACGAGCCAGCCTCGCCCCGACTCCAGCGGCAGTGGCCACTAGACCACCCAGCCAGCCGCCCACCCCACGTGCCAATCGCCCAGCTCCTCCCTGTGCCAGCCCTGCTGCTTACGCCGTGGCCCCCCGCCGGACCCCCCGCACGTGTGCCAGGCCCCTGGCTCCTACCCCCACTCCCGCAGGAGCCCAGAGGTCCCCGGCAAGGGCCCCGGGCCGGCAGGAACGCGGGAGCTCCGGGTCAGCACCCGCCTCGGGTCATTTCCACCACCACCACCAGGGCCCTGCTGCCCCACGCCCCGCCCCTCTGCCCTCCCAGGATTCAGGTTTGCAGAGCTCTGCTCCAGGCCGGATGACGGTGCTGCCCCCGGCGCTCCCTCCGTGGCTCGCTGACCCCGGATCTCGCACCCCCCACCCCTCCCCTCCGCCCCCCGCGCTTCGCGGTCGCTGTTTCGTCCCCAGGCTGCGGGCGAGGCCCTGCCCCGGCGCCTCCTGCTCCTCTGCTGTGTGTGCGGCTCCTTCTCTCGCCCACCCGACCACGGCCCCCCACCACTTGCCAGGGGCCTCTGGGGGGGCCCCCCTTCTCTGCTTCCCACCCAGCATCGCTCTCTCCCCCAGCGCCTGTGGCACCCAGCCCTCCACGGCGGCAGGAGGACAGCGACTGTCACGCCGAGCCCAGGCTGCCCACCCAGTGCTGGCCGCCTCCTTGGTGCCAAACCCCTTCCCCGCCCTTCAGATGTGGCAGCTTCTGGTTCATTCTTTGCACTAACCACACTTGTCATCTGTAGGGCAGGTGGGCTGCAGGGCTGCCAGCCCAGCGCATTCCTTCCTGGTCCCCTTTCCGTCCAGGACAGGCGCAGTGTCCTGGAGCCCGGCCTCAGGGGCTGGACCCGAGCTGGCTGTGAATGAGCCCGTGGCCCTGCTGCCCTCTTGGGACTAACCACTAACCTCACCCCAGCCTCCGCAGGGCCCCGGCCAGGCTGGCGAGCGCAGCCCTGAGGCCTGCACAGCTGGCGGAGTCAGGCCGGCACAGCCACTTCTCGGGGCGCTGCTGTGGGGCACGTAGCCCGACAGGCAGCCCGCGGGCCCGGAGAGCCCTCCTCAGGTGCTGCCCAGGAGGACTGTGTCTTGGGAACAGGTGTCCTTTGGGTTGTAGGACCGAGGTCCCTGTGGCCTCGGTCTCCCTAGCTGTGAAGTGGGAGTGAGGCTTCCCTAAGGTGCTTTGGGCTTCAGTGTACAATGTTTGCTGTTTCCTGCTGTGGCCACCCCCAAACCAGGACCGAAAGTCCTCCTCTGGCTCCGGGCTTGGCCGGCCTGACAGAGAGGCCAGGTGTGGGCTCTGGCCTGCGTGCCGGGCCAGGGCCCCGAGGTGGAGGCGGGCAGCTGGCCGCGGTTCACGGCGCGTGGGCGCTGACTGGCGGAGCAGCGGGCAGTGCCCCTTCCCTGGGCGGGCCGGGGAGCGCCCACCTTCCCTTCCTCTGTGACCCTTTTTCTTTGTGCTGGTGTCTGGGACCAAAAGGGTAAGTGGGACGGGGACCAGGCTGCTGCTGCCCCATTCCTGGGCAGTGTCACACTGGGAGGAGAGGGGGGCGTGGGCAAACACGGGGTGCCCCAGGTGGGCCAGGGGCCCCAACCTCGAATCTGAGCCCCTGGGCATGGCTGACCTCGCTGCCCGCCCTTTCCCACGGGCGGGAGCATCCTGGCCTCTGGGCCGCCCTGCCCGGGCGCCCACCACATACTCTGCCGCGGCTCAGAAGCACAACCAGCCGCCCGCGGCTGACGAGGCCGCCGAGCACGAGTGTGCACAGCATGGGAGGCGGCGGCCCAGCCAGGGACCCGCACCGCCTGGCAGTTCCGCCCCGTCGGTGACTTCGTGACCTCACCGAGTTCCTTCCACTCTCCGAGGCCGAATAAAGGAAAAGTGGAAAAGTCAAAAAGTTCAACCCAAGCCTCAGCCCGTGGAGAGGAGGGGGTCCTGGGCTGGTGGTTTTTCTGTCCTAAGTTTTTGGGGCCCCCTCCCGGACCAGCCCCCATCCCAGTGACCTCTCCATAGCCATTCCCACCCCCCGCCACTGGGCCTTGGGCCCCTCAGGCCCTGCAGCATCTTGGGGGATTGGTCCTTGACCACATGGGGGGCAGGGAGGCCGCACAGCCCCCCAGGGTTCAGCCCCATGAGGTGAGCAGGAGGCCTGGTCTCACTGGGACACCTGACTCGTAGGCCCTGGCTGCCGCCACAGGTTTGGGTTGCGGGACGCCTGGTTGGAGCCCCCGGCCACTGACCCTTCCCCGGCCGTGCCCACCTCATCTCACTATGCAATTCCAGCTGGAGCACTGGTCCCCAGCCGGCCCGGCCCTGCAGGAGGGCGTGTGGCAGGGGGGGTGCTTTCTGTTTGATCATGTGGTCTGTGCTCATGAAGACTGCCCTCCCCGGCCCCTCCCGGCCTTGCCCTCTCCCCTGGTGTGGGTTACCCCGAGCTGAGTGGGGACCGAGGCCCAAGCCCCTGGGCGTTTTCCTAGGCCCGACCTCCCCAGGGCCATGGCTGGATGTGCTGTCGCTGTTTATGGTTTTTGGTTTTTTTTTTTTCCAAACTGGGTTTGGGGGTTGATTTTTCTTTGGGGGCTTTATTTTTCTTGACAAATACTAGAAATCTTGTCAATGTAATTTCTGTGGTTTCTATTCAGCTTGGGTTTCATGTTTTAAAATAAATTTTAAAAAACAGGCCTCTTTTCCTGAGTTGTTTTGCCCCAGCCCCCAAGTTCGTGGACAGGTCAGCAGTGTGCACGGAGCCGCTGGTGTTGGGGGGACCAGGTCGCGTGGGCAGCGGCCCCAGGAGCCAGTGGTGTCGGGACAGACGGCTCTGTGAGGGATACCAGCCCGGCCCAGCGGACCACGTGCTGTACGGTTGTAGGGTTGTGGGGTTTGGGATGTGGGAGCCTGAGGTCCCACTAGACACCCTGAGCGGGGCGGGCAGGGGACAGGTGGATGGGGCTGGGGTTTGGGGAGAGCGCTGGGCGGCGAGGGCTAGTGGGAGCCTTTGGCATAGATACTGTGTCAGAAGCCAGAGCCTGGTGACGTTCCCTGGGGAGTGGGTGCTGAAGAGGGGACAGCAGGACCCGGGGCTGGGCCAAGGTCCCCAGTGTCCGGGCTCTGGGAGGGGAGGGAGTGAGCAGTGGGGCAGGACGCAGCCCAGGACGGCGGGTGTCCTGGGACCCCCGTGGGGACGGTGTCGAGGAAGGACGGGGACCACATTGGAGGCTGTGAAAGGCCGGGTTCCAAAGGGGCGGGACGCGCCCAGCGGGTTTGGTGACCTGGACACCAGCGTGTCTCAGACAAGGACGGGTCTGATGAAGCCTGACAGATGACCCAGGAGAACGTGGGAGAGGCCACGGGCGGCAGGGGCTGCCACCCTGTCGCCAGAGATGGTGGGGGCGGCCGGAGGTCTGTGTGTCTGCGTGTCTGTCTCTGCGTGTCTGTCACCAGAGATGGCGGGGGCGGCCGGAGGTCTGTGTGTCTGCGTGTCCGCGTGTCTGCGTCTGTGTGTCTGCGTGTCTGTCTCTGCGTGTCTGCGGGTCTGCGTGTGTGGGTCTGCGTGTTGTCTGCGTGTCTGTGTCTGTGTGTCCGCGTGTCTGTGTCTATGTGTCTGCGTGTCTGTCTCTGCGTGTCTGTGTCTGTGTGTCTGCGTGTCTGTGTCTGCATGTCTGCGTGTCTGTGTCTACATGTCTGCGTGTCTGTGTCTGTGTGTCTGCGTGTCTGTCTCTGCGTGTCTGCGGGTCTGCGTGTGCGGGTCTGGGTGTTGTCTGCGTGTCTGTGTCTGTGTTGTCTGCGGGTCTGTGTGTCTGCATGTACCGATCTGTCTGCGTGTCTGTTTCTGCGTGTCTATGTGTCTGCGTGTCTGTGCGTGTCTGCAGGTCTGTGCGTCTGTGTGTCTGTTTCTGCGTGTTTATAGCTGCATGTTTACCTTTTTCTGCATGTCTGTGTGTCTGCGCGTGTTTACCTGTCTTTTTCTGCGTGTCTGTGCGTCTGCAAGTCTGCGGTGGGGATGCATCAGCATGCTGGCAAAGCTGAGGAGAATGACCTCGTAGACAGGAATGGATGTGGGGGAGAGGGGACAGATAATTGGTGGGGTGAGGCTCCTGAGTGGGGCTGGGACCTAGGCCGCAGTAGGGGGCTGACCATGGACGGTGTGCGGACCCCCACTAGCCCGGTGATGAGCGCACTTGGGCAGGGGGTCGGGGTGGGTGGAGGGTCTCATGACATAGGCTGGAGAGGAAGTGGGGGTGGGGACAGCGGAGAAGGTGCCCGTCCTAGCCAAATCCCTGGGTCCTCGATCTCAGCCGACTGCCCACCCTTCCTGCTCCAATACGGTGGTCAAAGCTGACCCCTGCGGTCACCGAGAACCTGCTGGAGTTGCAGGCTCAGGCTGCCCCCAGCCCATTGGGACTGCGGCTGGGTCCCCGACAGTCGTCTATGGCCACCAGCCCTGCCCTGATCTCCCATCCTCCAAGGGCCTTGCACCAGAGCTCGGGGACAGGACGGTGGCAGGGTGGCAGGGTGGCCGTCAGTGGCTCAAGCTGGTTCTCGATGGTGCACATGTGGGGTGAGCTACGCAGTGGTAAAAATGTTAGGATTCGTCATGTGAACTTTTAAGAGCAAGCACGGGGCTGCAGGGCGGGTCTGTCCTCCCTGCCACACGGGGCGAGGACTGCGCCCCCTAGACCCAGGCCAGGGTCCTGGGAAGGGTGGACTGAGGCTGAGAGAGAAACCACCAGCTGTGGCCACCAGTGGGCGCCTGAGCATCGTGCTGGGGCGCGCTGGGTCGTATAGGGAGGGGTCCGGGAGGCCGGAGGGGGCAATAGGGAACGTTTGGAGGGGGTAGCTACAGCTCTGAGCTTCCACACTCAGAGTGGGGACATAATCTGGGCCACCTCCAAAGGCCTGGTCCCTCCTAGCAACGCACCGAGCGCCTTCTCCGTGTCCAGCCCTGGGCTCAGGTGTGGTGTGGGGAGGGGTCACCTCCAAGAACACTCATTAGGCTGGGGCTGGGGTGGGCAGACGGGGCTGGGGTGGGCAGATGGGGCTGGCCAGCCAGTCTGGCTGACAAAAAGCTGAGGCCGGCCCCGGCCACCCACTCCCCTTCTGAGCCCAGGCCCGGAGATGGGGAGACTGGCCTCGCACCCGAGGAAGGCCCTGGCAGCTGCTGCCGGTGGGGCCATGTGGGCGAGGGGCCTGGAGACCTGAGCTGCCTCCCACCCCTAGCCTTGCAGGCCCCCTGATCTGATGGGTGCCTCCTCCACACCTGTGCCCGGGCTGCGCTGGGACCTGGAGCACCCTCCTCTGCCCACAGCACCTCTGCAGAGCCTTCCTGCTCCAGCTCAGACACCTCTTCCGGGAAGTCGGCCATGATGGCCCAGTTGAAAGGGTTTGTTTAAACCGATGAGGGAGGGGCCCCACCTGGCCTCTCCCAGCCCTGGCCCTTGCCCGCCTGGCAGCCTGGATGGGGCGGGAGGCCCAGCACCAGCGGCCCCCACCCAGCATGGAGGTTTTACCTCCTGTTTTTGAAAGCCCACGACTGACCAGCAGTTAGACGGGGCCAGGCAGGGGCAGGCTGGGGATGCGGAGCCTCTCCACCCGGCCACCAGCCCAGTATGTGGGCTGGGGCGGCAATGCCACCACAGCGGGGTGTGGCCGGGTCACCTCTTCTATGTGCCACCTCCTGGCGGGGGTGCTCCTCGCAGTCCTGACCCAGGCGGGAGGAACAAAGCGGCTGCTGTTCCCGGGCCCCTCCCGGTCTCGCTTCCCCTTCTGAGGATGGAGAACCCCCCTCAGCTTCTCCTTTCGGGGAGAAGGCCGTGGGCTGCTCTGTGACACCCCCGGGCCCCGAGCACCAGCAGCTCCGCTGCGTTTCATTTGCCCCCACTTCTCAGACGGAGAGGTCGAGGCTCTGAGGGCGAGGCCTCCTCCCGGCCCCGCTTGGTGCCCCGCAGCTCTGCCGTCCCCTCCCAGGGCCCTCGCCCTGCCCTGGGACAGTGAGGATGGCCCCAGCTCTGATGAGGCCTCCACCTGCCCGGGGCCCCACCAGCTCGGAGGAGCCGATGCCAGCTGCCAGAGGCAGCAGCGGGGCCCTGGGCCTGACTCAGGCTGCCGGCTCCTCTGACTCACCCTGGCAGGAAGGGGGCCCGCGGCCTCTGCCCACACTCGGCAGTGGTGCTGTCACTTCCCCTGCACTATGACAAGATGCGGCCGCCGCCGCCAGGCATGGCGCACAGTGGGCGCCGAGAGATGTCTGTGTGGTGGTGGGGGCCCCCCTTCCTTCCCTGGCCCCGGTCACTGCCCACATCGCCCTAGCGGGCAGCTGCTCCGAGGCCTTCTGGAACCCACTCCGCTGACTCAGGCCTGTCCAAGGCAAGGGGCGTCAGACCCTGGCCAGCGGCCCCCAGGCCAGGGTGGCTACCAGCAAGGGCTGTGAGGAAGAGGGTCCCCCATGCCCCAGCCTGGGGGAGCTGAGTGTGTGAGCATGTGACTGGGGGGTGGCATTCTGCCCTTGCAGGGCGGGGTGCGGGGCAGGCACTTTCAAATGAGTTTCCTTTTCCCCCACGTTTATTAGCATTTATTTGATGCTGAGATTACTCCTGTGTCTCTGGCTTCTTCTGGGACATCTTTCTCTCCTGGGCAACCTGTCTTCTGGTTTAGGGACGAGCTGCTTTTTCCAGTGTGATTGGCTCCGTGTGGCCGGGAGTCCAGGCAGCCATTTGCCCCCTGGGGCCTGGTTACCGGCCAGCGCCCAGCGCCCCCTCTGCAGTTCTGAGCTCTCTTTTGGGGCCTCCGACCCCGCATCCAGCCCATGCAGCCTGGCATCCCTACCGACCCCACCGCTGCTAGGACAGAATGACGCCATCGCGTCTGTGAAGGGACATCCCTCAGGCACCCGGCGGCTTTTCAGATGTGCAGCCTTCGATGGCCTGGGCGGTTGCATGCGCGTTCTTAAAGCGGATACGAAGATGTGAACCTTTGGCTTTGCGTGATTTCGTGGGGATTTCTGGGTCAAGTGAATAGCAGATGATTCTCAGAAGCCGTCTCAGGCCACTTATAGAAAGAGGAAGCCAAATGACTTAGCTTTCTGATAAGTCGAAGCTGGGCTTAGAGTACAGTGCGGGCGTGGAATGAGGAGCCTGGAGCCCCAGGTCCACAGGGGGGCCACCACCCCGCCGCCCTGCAGGCCGGGCTCCCCCGAGAGGTCAGAGGTGGAGTGAGGAAGAGGAAGTGAGGGCTCCCCAGGCTGCTGCCGAGGGGGTGGCCAGGGACTTCCCCGCCTGGCTCCCTGTGGGGAAGAAGGGCCCCAGGAAGAGCTGTTCCCTGAAGGAAACAGGGCAGCCTGACCCCCGCCTGCCCGTCCAGGCGGGCACGGGGCCCGAGCCCCGCAGAGGGGCGGCCGAGCATGGCAGGACCGGGCATGGCAGGCCCGAGGCCCGCCCGGCCTCTGAGTTTTGAGCTCTTTACTACCCCAGCTGCCTGCCCTTGGGTCTTGCCCGCTATGAGCCTCACTTTCCCCATGTGCAAAAGAAGACAGAAATGTGGCCTCTGCTGGCACATGACAGGGATGAAGCCAGGTAAGGAGGGCCCCGGCCAGGCCACAGCAAATCTCCATCCCCCCTGCTGGGCCTGGTCGGCACAGGCCGAAGTTGTGAGCCTCAGGGCCCCTCCTTGGTGGGACCTAAATCCCGTGACCTGACTGTATGACTGTGTCCAGGGCTGTATGGCCATGTCCTGGGCTGGCTGTGCCTCCCAGGCACCTAAACGTAGCCATTTCGATCCCAAGTTCCCTTCGCAATAGTGCGCGTGAGGCTTCTCTACACACCTCCCCACACGAGAGCAAAGGGCTGAGTTCCCAGCCCCCTGGAGCCACCTCGGACGGGCCTGCAGCTCAGCCTCAACTTCCAGCCAAGACCCAGACCCCCGGGTAGCCCCAAAGAGCACCTTTATTCACAGCAAAGGACGTCACCATAGCAACCACACTGCAATCCCTGAGAACTTTTCCCTTATTGTTCACTTTCCTAACTATGTCTTTGCAGAAAGAAAAACAGAAGACAGAACATACGCCCGGACCAGGTGTGCCATGCTGGGCCGGCGGGACACAGGGCCGATGCAGGAGGGCACAGGAGAGGCCAGACGAGGGGACACATAAATACGTGGGTGTCAGACACGTCCAGCTTCAGCCGCAAAGACAATCGCAAGGGCGGCTTCTGCTTTTTCTAATCCACAGAAGAGATAAAATAACACCCTGCCCTGCTCCCCCCAAATGAAGACAAAAACACCCTACTTTTACCCACCCCCTTTTGAAAAACAAGCACAGTAAAAAAATACTGTCACAATATTTACAGACACGCCCACTATGGGCGACTGTCTCTCTACTTTGGAGAGTAGGTTAAATCTCAGCTCTGACTCCCCATCTTGGGGAGACAAAGAGAAGACCCCCACCCAGCCGGCCACATGGCCACTGGGGGCTTGATGGGGCCACGGGACCCGGGCAGCGGCCGGACCACGCCTGCCCGGTCCTCGACTGTCCCGGGGGCTCTGCAGGGGGGCGGGGCAGAGTCGCAGGCGCAGAGGCGCCGCCCAGGGCCTGCACTCCGCGGGGAGAGGGAGGCCCCCCCACACCCTGTGGAGCAGACCCTGGTCCCACACGGCCAAAGGCTCGACAGTGATAACGCGGAACGGCCCTCAGAGTGACCCGTGACATCCGAACCCTTCCAGGGGACACAGGCTCCGGAGCCCGGCCACCCGTGGAGCCTGGAAAGGCAGACAAGCGGCACTCGCCTGCCCCTCGGCAGAGCAGAGCTGCCCGGCAGTCTGCTACGCACATGGGCACACGGCACACACACATGGAGGCATGCCCTGGGGAGCCTCCGGCGACAAGGCCACGGTGGCACTACAGGGTCCCCGGGCCCTTTGGATACCAGGGGCGCCCAGGGACGGGTCTCAGCCAAGGCTGCTAGAAGGTGGCGGTGCGAGGACACCAGGGCGTGTCCGGGTACAGGCGGCAGTGGACGGAGCGGAACCTGTGGGGACAGAGTGGGGGGCTGGTCCGTGGGGGGCGAGAGTGACAAGCACCCGCCTCCGGACTCACAGCACTGGGCGCCCTGCTTTGCCTTGAGCGGGGGTCCTGGGGGCACTCTTTAGAGTCCTGCTGCCTAGTGACAGCCAGCTCCGGTTCCACCAGGCCCCCAGGGGACGCTGCTGAGCCCCCCCACACACCGGGGCCTCGTTCCTCACCTGGACGGGTCAGCCTCCACCGAGAAGGGCCCCTTAACGTGGACGGAATTCCGCTTGTTTTCAAACATGCCGTAGCTCAGGGTCACCTGTGTGGACAGGGCAGAGTGAGGCTGGCGGGGCCCCAGTGTCCCCAGCTCTGCCCAAGGCTGGCCCTGTGGCTGGGACCGGGGAAAGAGCCTCCGCCTCAGACCACGAAGCAAGGCCGACGAGGCACGGGCAGCGCATCCCAGGAGTAAGGCCCAGGGCGGGGCCTCGCCCGGGGCGGGTGGAGTCGAGAGGATGCCCCGGATGCAGAAAAAGACGCAGAGCGGGCGAGTCGGCCGAGGACAGAAGACGGGAGGATGGACGAGAGGGTTCGAGGGGGTCCGTGCCGGCGGGGGAGGCGGCATCTGGATGGCAGCCAGCGGCCAGCAGTGAGGCCCCGCCTGAGCTCCCTGTTTAAACCCGCGACACCCACCCGCCCCTCCCGTCCTGGGCCCCGGGGCCAGCACACCTGCTCGTGCAGCTCCGAGGCCGGCACCTGCTGCAGGTTCTCCAGGTGGGAGTGGAAGAGCCCGCTGCGGATGAGCGGCACGCCCAGCAGGGCCTCCACGATGTAGCCGATGGTGCAGTCGTCGGGCAGCCGGATCCGTTCGGCTGTGCTCAGGAAGTGGCCCCCACTGCGGGAGGGAAGAGCCCGCCAGTGAGCAGAGGCGGGAGCCCCAGGCCCCCTGGGAACTGGGCAGGACCCCACCAGGCAGAGGTCACACGCAGCCAAGAAGCCAGGCTCAGAGAGGAGGGGGACGCGCCCGTGGAGTAGGAGCGGACCACGTCTGCGTCCCTATGGCTGGCTCTGCTGCAGGCAGCACCCCCGTCCCTCCCCGGGCCCTGACACCGCACCCTCCTCGGTACCAGCCTGGGAATTTTCTGCCAGTCGAGGGTTCCTGGGTGCAGCAAGGGGTCCTGCCCAGTGGCGCCTGGGCCTGGGTGCTCGCCCCCTCTGGTGCCTGCTGGCAGGAGGTGGGAAGTGCCGGGGACTGCGACTCAGCGTCACGTGCATGTGAGGCTGGGGACACCCACCGCTGGGAAAGTGAACCGAGCCAGGCCCCACTTGGGCAACTTGGTCGGTCGAGCAGACTCACCTGGCCCACGGGCTCATCTTCAAGGCCAGCCCGCGGCTGATGCAGAAGCCAGCCCCACCGGTGGCAAACCAGAAGTGGACGGGACGCTGTGGGAGGGGAAGTGTTGTGAGACCCGCCCCCCCAGGCTGCGGGGACACCCTCGGCCTCCTCCCCGCCAGCTCGGGCGCGGGTGGACACACGACTCACTATCTTATTCTCGCCGACCCTCTCTGTGGCCTGGATGGGCCTGTCCAGGCTGGGCTTGCCGATGTAAACGTCCTGGGTGTGTGGGTAGCTGGCCAGCAGGCGGAGCAGGGCCCGCACGTTCACATAGTTGTCATCGTCCGCATGGCAGAACCACCTGGGGGTGAGCAGGGCCATCAGGGGCTGGAGCGGGTCCAGGTCCGCTGTGCAAGGGGTGGGCACTGCTGGGCTAGGGGCCTGGGGTGGGGGCGTGGCCGACACTCACTTCCTCCCCGACTCGATGAAGCGGTCATACTCCACTGCCATCTTGCAGGACAAGGCCTGGCGACTGTGGGCAGCTGAGCAGTTGGTGTTGACCATGTTGCCTGTGAACGAGGGGAGGGGGCTGTAATTCGGTCGGCGCTGGCTCAGAGAGGGCAGCCTGGCCTGGAGTCACACAGCAGGCCCGTGCGAACAGAGAGGGATGGAGCGGGTGGCTGTGTGTCCCAAGGTGCCTTGGGTTCGAGCTGTGCCCTGCAGCAGGCTCCCGCTCGGCCCCCTCCCCAGCGCAGGACACGGCCTGGTGATCGCAGCCCCCCTCAGCCCAGCCCCCGCCGGGCACCCCGCCCCTAGCCATTCAGGCGGATTTTTCCCAGCACCGGCCACCTGTTGCTCAAAGGGGCCTGGGAGCTGAAAGGGCCTCATTTGCATGAGAATCGGGGGGCCGAGTGGTGGGGCGGGGCGCTGTGCAAACCAGTTGAGTAAAGTGCCCTCATAGGCCCTTGGCCTCTGCGACCTCTCGGGGAGAGGGGAAGATGGGGGACGATTTCCTCCTGGGAGTGGAGCCCCTCCACCCGCTCCCCAAGTCCAGGGCTCACCCGTGCGCCTGGCCAGTGCCTCGTCCTCCCCGTCGGTGAAAATGAAGGTCTGGAAGGAGAAACGTGGCCTTGTACCGGCAGCGCCGTGTCCCAGCCCTGGGCCATCGCAGGGGTCCGGCGCCGGGCACCCTGGGCTTCCAGCAACCGCTGCTCAGGCATGCCCACTCCCCACCCTGCTTGGGGCCCCGTGCGCACAAAGGGGGCCGAGGGCCCAACCCGAGTGGAAGCAGGGCTGGGGCTTACGCAGACCTCACCCCCCATGTCGACAGCTGGGCCCAAGGTCACCCGGCAGCTGTGCAGGCACGAGCCAGGTGGGGAGCCCCGCCCAGCCGCCAGGTAACCGGCTCCAGGCCCGCCCTGCGCACCTGGCGGGGCACACACCCTTATTGACACAGCCCGTGGGAGGGGGCAGAGGTGGGGGGACAGGCACTGGAGGTCGGCTTTGGGAAGCCAAGTCTCAATCAGTGGAGGACAAAGGCCTCTGCTGGGCGGCTGCCAAGCCCCAGAGGACAAAGGGCCGGAGGGAGGATGAATCACCAGGCATTGTCCGCCAGCTTTGTCCCAGGCCGCGGTCGGGGGGCGCCGGGCCGGCCTTAACTCGGCCGTGTTAAGCAGGAGTGGCCTCGCTGCCCATTACCATACAGCTGGCCTGGTTAACTGGGCCGGACTGGGCGCGCGGTCCGGAGGGCAGGGGTGCGGCCACGGCGCTGCCATCCATTGGGCTGGGCCTTCAGGCCAGGGGCCCCCACACCCCTGGCTGTGTGGCCAGCGGGCAGGTCACCTCCTCTGAGCCAAAGCAGCCACCGCTGTTCTCCGGAGACGCCGACGGTCCTTAGGGGTGAGGCGGGCCGCCGCACGCGCCCCAGCACACGGATCCGTGCCCCAGGCACTGTGCAGCCCGGTGCTCCGTCCTGCTGCCGGGGGAGGAACCTAGGCTTGAGGATGGGCCTGGCCAGAGTCACGTCGAGCTCCACCTGTGCCAGCACCGGGCCACCCCTGCCAGGATCGCCCGACGAGGCGGGCAACGGGGCGGGGCGGGAGCTGCCGGCGCCGCCTGGGCTGGTCGGCACACGGCACACGAGAGGAATGTTCCTTCCTCGTGCCTCCTGGCACACCCAGGCGTGGTCGAGTGCGCGGCCTGGGGCGCGGCGGGGCGCGCTCGCAGCACAGGCCGTAGGAGCCCCCCATGTCGCCTCCACGCCTGGGCCTCGGTTTCCTTCTGTGTACAGACGGGTCCCAGGGAGGACCCAGCACGCGCGAGCTGGGACACCGTGTACACCCAGGGACCTGGGGACCCACCTGGAGTGCCCCGCCTCCCCTGGGCGGCCCCGGCCCCTCGCCCACCCGGACCCCAGACCCGAACACACGCTCAGGTGCGGCCACGGCTCCGAATCACGGGCCCAGAGCGAAGGGGGTGGCAGGCTCCATCTACACCCTCTGCACACATGCACCCCTCCTTCCAGAGCCTGGCAGACACCCCAAGGCAGCCCGCACGCACAGACTCGCACCCAGCCCCCCGCCCGCTCCCCAGCATCCCAGCCCACGTGCAAATGCCCTGCCACAGGGTTAAAAAAAAAAATGCTTTCTTAATGAGATCAAGCGAGGCCTGTTCTCCATGCTTTGGTGGTGCCCTAAAAACCCGGCCCAAGGCTACGGAGATTAAAGTCACCTTTGTTCGGAGAGCCAGGAGGACTCGGGAGGGCAGGGCTGTGGCGGGGAGGGCTCGGGCCTCCTGTCTCCCCACATCAGAGCGACCAGCAGGGGAGGAGGCAGGCTGCTCAGGCGCCGCCCCACCCACTGCTCACAGGTCGTTTCCCGCTCTGAACAACGGGCGTAACAGAAGCTCACCTGTGCCCAGGGCAAGCGCCCTGACGCGGGCACCGTTACCACCTCACGTGCGGAGGCCAGGCAGGGCAGGCCCCAGCCTATGGCCATTCCCCGGGGGCAGAGGTGGTGCCGACCCAGCGGGGGCCAGGCCTTCCAGGGACAGAGACCCCCCCCAGGTCCCTCGCAGCATCCCCAGCAATGGGTCTGCAGGGGGAAGAGCTGGGCAGCA